TGTTAGTGTGTGCTTTGTGTGTGTGGGTGAGGGTGCTGTGTGTGTAAGGGTGCTGTTAGTGTGTGCCGTGTGTGTGTGAAGGTGCTGTGTGTGAGGGTGCTGTGTGTAAGGATGCTGTTAGTGTGTGTATGTGTAAGGGTGCTGCATGTGTATGGGTGCTGTTAGTGTGTGCTGTGTGTGTATGAAGGTGCTGTGTGTGTGTGTGAAGGTGCTGTGTGTAAGGGTGCTGTTAGTGTGTGTGTATGTGTAAGGGTGCTGTTAGTGTGTGTGTTTGAGGGTGCTGTGTGTGTAAGGGTGCTGTTAGTGTGTGCTTTGTGTGTGTGGGTGAGGGTGCTGTGTGTGTAAGGGTGCTGTTAGTGTGTGCTGTGTCTGTGTAAGGGTGCTGTGTGTGAGGGGTGCTGTTATGTGTGTTGTGCATGTGTGTGTGTGCTGTGTGTGCTGTGCTGTGTGTGTGCTGTTAGTGTGTGCTGTGTGTGTAGGTGTGTGTGTGTGTGTATGTGCTGCTGCTGTGTGAGGGTGCCGTGAGGGTGCATGTGTATGGGTGTCGTGTGTGCTGTGTGTGTGTGTGAGTTGTTATGCTGTTAGTGTGTATGTGTAGGGTGCTGTTAGTGTGTGCTGTGTGTGTGTGTGGTGTGAGGGTGCTGTGTGTGTAAGGGTCTTGAGTGTGAGGGTGCTGTTAGTGTGTGTGTGTAGGGTGTTGTTAGTGTGTACTGTGTGTGTAAGGGTGATGTGTGTGTGAGGGTGCTGTGTGTAAGGGTGCTGTTAGTGTGTGTATGTGTAAGGGTGCTGTGTGTAAAAGGGTGCTGTTAGTGTGTGTGTGTGTGCTGTGTGTGTAAGGGTGATGTTAGTGTAAGGGTGCTGTTAGTGTGTGTGTGTAAGGGTGTTGTTAGTGTGAGGGTGCTGTGTGTGTAAGGATGTTGTTAGTGTGAGGGTGCTGTTAATGTGTGTGCTGTGTGTGTAAGGGTCTTGTTAGTGTGAGGGTGCTGTTAGTGTGTGTGTGTAAGGGTGTTGTTAGTGTGTACTGTGTGTGTAAGGGTGATGTGTGTGTGAGGGTGCTATGTGTAAGGGTGCTGTTAGTGTGTGTATGTGTAAGGGTGCTGTGTGTAAAAGGGTGCTGTTAGTGTGTGTGTGTGTGCTGTGTGTGTAAGGGTGTTGTTAGTGTAAGGGTGCTGTTAGTGTGTGTGTAAGGGTGTTGTTAGTGTGAGGGTGCTGTGTGTGTAAGGATGTTGTTAGTGTGAGGGTGCTGTTAATGTGTGTGTGTGCTGTGTGTGTAAGGGTGATGTATGTGTGTGTGTGCTGTTTGTGTGTAATGTGTGGGGTGTGGGGGCTGTTTAGTTAATATCCCCCCTCCCTTCTTACCTTATATAGGGAGGGGAGACCATGCTCCTGCCATCCTTGGTGGTCCAGTGGAGAGTGAACTTTGATCTACCTCACCGGTCCACAGAGGGAGGCACATAGCTCGTGCCGCAGGGATTAAGGTGTGCCTAGGCACACCCGGCACACCCCATGCGCACGCCTATGATTACATATCATCTCGAATGTGAGGACCTCTTCAAGGTGCTGCTCCCTAATTCCATCTTCACTATGATTGTGTTTTGCTTACACTTTTATTTTGCATATAATTTGATCAATTATTATTGGCTGCTTATTAGTAGTATTGTGCTGCTTTATACTGTGCCTTCCCCCCCACCCCCCCACGGGGTGTATCAACTAAGGTGTAAACTTGAACCCCGCATTTTATATATATACTTTTTATTTGTGCACCCTGTGTTACCTATCTTGTAATCTTTACTTGTCAAACTGCAGCCACTATAAGCATAGCTCTGGTAAAATGCACACATTGCAATTGCTCTGACACAGCAATGTTTTATATAACCACACAAAATGGAAAGGGGCTCTTCACCAAAACCACCTCAAATATATACCTGTAGTTACCTCCAAAGGTGCTGTTCTTTAATCTGTATTATGTATGAATTTTGGTAACTAAGGCAGCACCATTCGTGCAAAATGCATGTTTCGTGTGCCCCCAATTCCTTTTTGTCTTTATTATGTAAATTTGGAATCCAGACTGGATTGCCTTTGGAGCTAAGCACCCTTACCAGCGCCCCAGCTTCAGGAGGTGACCACAGGTATATATTTGAGAATGCTTTGGATAGTAATGTCACTTTAATTATAATTTTCATAGACCAGATATATGATATATGCATTATGAGTATATGCATCAAAGTACTATCACTTTAAATGTTTAGTTTTGACACTGCATTTTTTTATTGCATTAATTTTGAATTATATATATTCACAATGCTCTAACAACAGATTATTTATATACACTTCAGCTTATTTAGCACTATTTAATTTGTCTCCCACATTGGGGTACTGTGAAGTTGTGGAGGGCTTAACACAATATGGCCATATGGTGGAAGTGAATCCCTGTATTTATTTGCTGAGATAGCTGATTTTAAGTAGCCTTATAAAATTTAAAAATGTATTTTATGTGTGCTGTTCATTAATCTGTATTATGTATGCATTTTGGTCACTATGGCAGTACCATTCCTGTGAAATGCACATTTTGGGTTTGCTCCCAATTCCTTTTTGTCTTTTCCGTGCAGCCAGAAAAGGCTGTGAGCTGCTGACCACGCAACATTTCTACAGGAATTAATATTGGTCCTACATCCAGAAAGCACTGGAAGCATGTATTTGTATTGGATACTCAGAGGTAGGATCAGGCATATCTCATTTATCAGAGCCCAGGTAACCTCCCACAATAAATTAACATAGTGGCATCATCTCCCCAGTGAAATAGGTACCTCTGGAAAGAGTATTTTCTATACTGGAAAGAGTATTATGCAAAATGTAGTTCAACTTTAAAGAAATTTAATACTTGTACAATCTGCACCTTTTTCATAGTGTCACTTGTGAGGGTCTCCTCGTTGGTGTATGTGGGTCACCATGATCTTCACGAATGAATTTGTGGTGAAATGCCTAAGATATTTATTGCACATTATGAAAAAATAGTTTTGTTTCCATAAGCCATCACACATACAGTCTTATTTCAAACAGTTGTAGTAGTGGTAATGGTTCTTCCCTATAACGTCCTACACAGAGGCAAATACTTATAGTGGAACTGAATCTAGCATGTCTTGGGAAATGAATCCATTCTCCTTGGGCACTGCCCTAGCTTCAGTAAATGTCTGTACTTTACTGCCATAACCCTCACAAGAGGCAGTGATTGCTTACTATAAGTAAACATGCTACCCATTTCATTAGAAGTCCAATATGGCCTCCCATATCAAGATGCAGATCGCTCCTCCCCTGTATTTCAAAGCAATAATTAAAGCAATGAATTGTAAGTTGGTAAAGTAGTGAGGGGCAGGCTGTCAGACTTTGAGACCCTGCTCTGTCTATACAGTGCATGGAACCTATACAAAAAAATGTAAATGTTAAACTATCCAACAACAAAAATGGTGGAAAGAAAAGAAAGACTTCATAGAACATGGCAAGTGAGTTGTACAAAGAGTTCTGTAGAGTGTTTCTTTTCACCTCACTTTTGTTGGCGCTTTACCAACCGAACTTCTATTTGTATAGCTTCAGTAGAGAAGAAGCCTCCTCTTTTACTCTGTGAATGCCTGGTTTCAGCTGAGGCAGTAGCTATATCAATTCAGTATATAATATGAGCTCCATCTACTTTCCTGATTATTATTTTTTTGTTTGTTTAAAAAATCATGAAACACAAAAGCACTGTTTAGGTACTGCCTGCTAAAATGTCAACTGTTTTGAATTTGCTGGGACAGTTCCATGTGTTGGGCTCTTGGACCACCAAACACTGAGTTGCAGGACCTGTCCCACAATGAGGCCACCCAGGTTGAATTGCTGCAGCATGTCTATAGTCACTGTGAGGGAAGGGTTGAATCTTGGATATCTTTCAGCCTTCAGAGCAAAACATAGACAAAGAGAGAGAGAGAGTGAGAGAGTGAGAGAAAGTGAAAGAGGAAGGATGCATCCTTCTCTGTGTGTTTCTGCTGATCACTTTATGTGTGGCTCTGGGTTTTTTGCCTTTGTGTATGTGTGCCAATGGTTATTCAGCATGCATAATACAGCTTTTCTCAATGTGTGCATACATATGCGTATATTTACAATTAATTTTCAGAGAAAGGGCAGTGTTTACATTACTGCCTAGGAACACCTCTAGTGGCAGTCACTCAGATAGCGCACTAGAGGTGCTTCCTGGGTCAGTGCTGCACAGTGTCTGCTCTGCATGGGAATGTTGATTGCTCCCCGAAGATATTCATTGACTCAATGCACCTCTATGAGAAAATTCTGATTGGCGCAGCACAGCGTTTTCCACGCAAGTGCAATAGCCTCCCAATGCTTTCCTATGGTAAAGCATTAAATTGACAGAGACCATTGAATTATATGATCTCAGCCACAGAGTAAACACATATTTTACTCAACTGACAGGGGAGCCGGCTACTTTCAAAACTATAGTGTCGTGAAGGCATGATTGTATTCTTGACACTATAGTGTTCCTTTAAGCTAAGGTTGTTTTGGTGCCTAGGGTGTCCCTTTAATGCTGCTCAAGTTAGGAGCAATCCCTATACTTACTGCACCATTTCATAAAAACACCATGTTTTGATCACTTAATCCACGCAGTAATAAATCTGAGTTTGTGTTAAAATGTGACATATTCTACTTAAATCCTTGTGTATATTGTACATTAACAAGCGATATTACAATATTACAAAAGCTGAGTTGTTTTCAGTCCTACACTTCATCAGGGCCAGTATTTATATATTTAAAAATACATAGAATGGCTCCACTGATATGTTCTGGGAAACTGACAATCCATTTTGGAATTAATTATTTTTATTTGAGACTCCAGCTTACTTTCCTCATGGTTTAGAATAATAAACTACTACAAACTCTGAATGCACTCTATTTATTGACCTGTTACTATTGATATGGCGGTGCATTGCTAATGGCTTCTGCATAACTGACAGCTTCTATGGAGATGACTGCTTCTTTTTAACGGCCACCGTTAATGACCTCTTCTCAGTGACTGGCAACTTCTGTGTGACTAGTAGTTTCTGCACAGTTAATGGTTTCTGAATTCCTGACTTATTTTGCATGACTGTAGCCATCTGCATGTTTGATGATTTCTGTTTTACTGATGGTTTTTGCATGGCTGCTGGTTTCTGAATGGGTAGCTGCTTCTGCCCCACTGACTGTTTAAGCATGACCAGTGGCTTCTGCACGGTAGACATCTTTTGAATAACTGTCTGTTTCTGTGGAACTGATGATGTTTTATGTCCTGCTAACTGTTTCATCATGGCTGATGACCTGACGGACGCCTTTCTCTGTACTCTTACCTGCTTCTGCATTGGTGATGGTTTCTGTATGACTGGCAGTTTAAGCATGCCTAATGGTCTCTGTATGACTCCCATCTTTTGTAAGTCTGATGACTTCTGTATGACTGATTGTTTTTTCACAACTGATGTTTTATGCCCTGCTGACTGGTTCTGCATGAATGTAGACTTTGGCATGACTGCTGCTCTCTGCATGTCTGATGCCTTATACATAATTACTGGTTTCTGCATTGCTGGAGTCTTTGTCATGACTGCCACCTTTTGCAAGACTGGCATCATCAGTGTGATTGGTGCTTTCCTCATGACTGGTGACGTAAGAGGCACCTTTTGCCTGAGTTCCACCTTACGCATGATTGGTGCTTTCTGCATGAAAATAACATTTTGCTTTTGGCTCGCCTTCTGCATGCTTGAGCCTTTCTTTGTGACTGGTGGCTTTGTCATGACTGGGGATTTCTGCAAAACTGATTCTTTTTGCATGGGTAGCGCCTTCTTTATGATTGATGATTTCTGAGTAATTGATCCTTTTTTTACAACTAGCACATTCTGCTTGGCTGGTGTCTTCTGCACTGTTGGGTCCTTCAGCATAACTGCCATCTTCAGTATGTCTGGTGCATTTGGCATGGCTGCTCCACATCTAACTGCTTCTGCACATCTGACTGCATTGAACATTCTAAATTATGGCATAAATGGGTCCTGTTTCAGTTTAAGCCAGAGTGATGTCATAAATATGTGGTGTTTTAGCTCAGAGAGATGTCATAAGGTGTGTGTCTGTGTGTGTCTATAATTTCAGTACAGTCTTGGAACTTTCAATTTACAAATTACAAGTAATATTCAACTCGATTTACTAGATAACAGCATATTTTGACCTTTTAAAGCAAAGTTCTGCTGTAAAAATAATTTCTCTCTACTAACTAGTGTAAATTTACTGCAATGCACATTAGTATAAGGTTCCAGGTAAAGAGCGAGCCTTCCAAAAGAAACCAAAGGAATCACAATGCCATTTGTGGTTTTTTTCTAAATTGGCTCTGTGTTATTTTAAATTTTTTTTATTGGCCTTTTAATAAGCACAACATATTTTTCTGGATGGACAAAATCCATAGAAAATTACTGAATTCTGATCGCAGTGGCAATTCTCATTTTTACTAAAATCAAATGTGATTGGAATTGTAGATTATGCTAACGTAGTGTACCTATAATCTTAATTTTAATAATGACAGGAGGCGAGTATTTTGCATGACTTTCTTTACTCATGCCTCCAGCAGCACAAGTCAATCAATAAACTTTTAACCAATCATAAGAGAGTACATAAACATATATAAGGCTCTGATTGTCACATGACTTCCTCTTTCTTTGAATTGCTATCAGTCCACGTAACGTCAGTAGCTAACTTAAGTTCTTAACGATATAGTGTTTCAAACTTGTTCTCTGGAAAGTCCAACTTCCATAAAATCCAACTCCAACTGGTTAACGCATAATGAACTGAAACTTGATCCGTAAGATCCATTATTCGGCTTGTCTTCTTCTGTGCCAGAAGCGGCAATCACACTGAAAGAAATAGAAACGAGTGTAAGAGGTTGGAAATAGACTGATGTCTATATAATATCATTGACACTATATCTATCCATATCTTATATCAAAAGAAATAAGCTAACTCCATATAACTAGCATTCTAATCTACTATCGACAAATCCTTGTCTATTACCTCAAACATCCCATACATATCTTCTAGATAAATTATGCAGGTTACAATTAGAAGCAATACAAAATCAATACAAAAGGTGACATATAAGAGAACCAGAGTATGGGAGGAGAGGGAGGGAAAATACTCGCCTCCTGTCATTATTAAAATTAAGATTATAGGTACACTACGTTAGCATAATCTACAATTTTATTACATGACAGGAGGCTTCCTATTTTGCATTTTTAAAGCTGAGGTAATAGCGAGAAAGCTGCGTGTGTGTTCTGACGAAAATAAAATAAACGAAAGGTATCCTCCCGTGTCCAGTCTGCGGAACGTAGGATATCTGCTAAAGACGCTCCCGCCGAGAACGCTCTTGAGGCGGCCGCGCCCCTAACCGAGTGAGCCCCAAAACACGTCTCCACTCCTGCTAGATACAGGATCCAACGAACCCATCGAGCCAGAGTAGTAGTGGTAACTGGTTTGTAAGGTTTGGTGTAAGATACCAACAGTTGTCCTCTGCTAAAAGCTCGAATGCTTGCAGTAACCTCCACGTATCGCGTAAGTGCGGAAACTACACATAAACGAGGGACCGTAGGAAAAAATGGATAAGATATAGATGTTGAATTCGTTTTGGTTCTACGAGACACCGTGAAGGTAACCCCTTCCGGTGAGATCGAGAACCCATCCACATCGAACGCTCGCACGTCCGAAACCCTTCGAAAGGATACCAAACATAAAAGTAATGTCAGTTTGGCCGACAACTGCCGTAGTGACAAATCTTTATTGTCTGGCCAATTCCGAAGGAAGTTAAGGACCACCTCTACGTCCCACATGTGACTATACTTAGGTTCCGGCGGTCTGGACAATTTGATGCCTCGCATTAGGCGACATACCAAAGGGTCCTGACCAACTGGAGAGCCACTTACTGTTACGTGTGCCGCTGAAATTGCGGAACGCGTCACATTGATGGAACGATAGGATTTTCCCTCCGTGAAGAGGTGCGACAAAAAATTTACCACCATGGTGTTAGGTGCTGTAAAGGGATCACAATTCCGTCCCAGACACCAACGTTTCCATGAATTCCACGCTGATAGGTAACTCCGTCGAGTGCCCGGTGCCCATGAATCCCATAGAAGGTCTTTAGCTGGTTGCGATAGTCCCTCGACGGACCAGGCTCCCCTGAAAGACTCCAGGCCACCAGCTCCAGACTCTCTTGTACCACTAGTGGATGTGGTTCCCCTTTCGGATCTGTCAGCAGAAAGGGAACCGATGGAAGAAGTAATGGATGATCCCACGTGAGAGCCAATAATTCCGGAAACCATGCTTGACTCTTCCACAACGGTGTGATGAGAATCATCGACACCTTGGTTGCTCTGATGCGATGGAGCACTCTTGCTATCATTGAAAACGGTGGGAATGCGTATGCTCCCCTCGGAGGCCACTGTTGTAAAAAGGCGTCCACTGCCTCGCACTGAGGGTCCGGAAGCCAGCTGAAATACCTTGGTAACTGAGTGTTCGTCCGAGAGGCAAACAAATCCACGACCAACGGGCCCCTGAGGTCCCTCACCATTGCAAATACTGAAGTATCCAGTCTCCAGTCGCTGCCGTCCCGCCAATGTCGAGAAAACCAATCCGCCGTGAGGTTGTTGGCTCCTGGTAAATATTCCGCTTTGATCGTGATGTTGCGGGGAATACAGAATTGATAGATGTCCTTCGTCGCCTCCGTCAGGATCCGTGATCGGGCTCCCCCTAGTCGATTTATGTATTGGACCGCGGAAATGTTGTCCATGCGTAGAAGAATGCAACAGTTCGCCATGTCCTTGGCTAGACTGCGAATCGCAAACGATCCCGCAATCAGTTCCAGGAAGTTGATGTGGAGACTCTGTTCCTCTTGAGACCATGGACCTCCCGTGGCTGCGTGGGTGCAGTGAGCTCCCCATCCCCAAAGGCTCGCGTCCGACTCCAATACAAAGTCCGGGTTCGCCCCGAAAATGGCTCTGCCGTTCCATGCTTCCATGTGCAGTAGCCACCACCGTAGTTCCGTCCGAGCCTCCGTGGAGACCGGGATCCAGTGATCGTATGTGTGTCCGGTTCGTAAATATTGGGCTTTCAGTCTCTGCATTGCCCGGTAGTGCAGCGGGCCTGGGAAAATCGCTTGTATTGATGAGGAGAGTAGTCCTACTATCCTCGCTAATAGTCGGAGCGGTATGGTGTCTCTCCTGAGTATCCGTCGGATCTCCTTCCGAATGGCCGCTATCTTGGATGCAGGGAGTCGTAGCACGCAAGAGTTGGAATCTATCTCGAACCCGAGGAACTGGACTACTCGTGATGGAACCAATGATGACTTCTCTCTGTTCACTATAAACCCCAATGATTCCAGAAAGTGAATGGTAAATCTCGTCTGAGATTGAATTCTGGATTTGGAGTCGCCAAAGATCAACAAATCGTCCAGATACACGAGGCAGCGTATTCCTCTTCCTCTCAGATGGGCCATTACTGGTTTGAGGAGTTTCGTAAAACACCATGGAGCCGAACTGAGGCCGAATGGGAGACATGTGAATTGGCAAGGGCGGGCGACCCCTCCAGATGAAACGCAGGAAGATTCGGCTTTCTCGAGCCATGGGCACCGACAGGTAGGCGTCTTTTAGGTCCAAGCGTGTGAACCAGTCGCGTTCGTTCAGCAGATCCCTCAGAAGATGAATACCTTCCATTTTGAAATGGCGGTAAGCCACAAATCCGTTCAGTTCTCGTAAGTTGATGACTGGGCGGTAGTCTCCCGTCTTTTTCCTGACCACGAACATGTTGCTGAAGTAAACCTGGTCGTCTGGGGCAAGTTCCACCGCTCCCTTGACGAACAGGGTTCGTATCTCCGTGTCTATGAGGCGTCTCTGATTCTCTGACGCCCGGATAGGTGATGGTCGCCTGGTCTGAACTGGCGTACGGGCAAATTCTATCACGTACCCTCGCACGGTCTGTAGGATCCATGCGTCTGCGGATATTCGTTCCCATTCCTGCGGAAAAAGGGACAATCTGCCAGCAGTTATAGTTGAAGGACATAACGGAGGATAATTCATGCTCACCTGAGTTGTAACGTCCCCTTCCTCTGTTCCGAGTGCCCCTTGTACGCAAGGATCCCCTTGTGAAGTTGGCTCTTGCAGATGGGAAGAACTGTTGTGTAGCGTATGGGCGACTGGGGCCGGATGGCCAGAAACGGCTGGTGGCCCGACCCCTCTGCCGACCAGCCCTGCCAAAAACACCTCGAGTTGTCTGTGGGTTCCGAAAGACTTGTCTAATAGATGATTGTGCCTTATTCAGTGTAGTGAACAGGCCTACGTGCTTCTTCAGTTCTGCCATGAATGGTTCTCCAAAGAGCAGACCCTCCGCCAGGGGGCCTAACTCTTTCTTCCCCAGGTCCAACAGTTTGGAATCTATCTTCAATAAAGCCGCTTTACGGCGTTCTGCGCACATGGCGGCATTGGAGTTTCCTAGTAGGCAGATCGCTCGTTGTGCCCATTCTCTAATGTCGTGTGCCTCGAGGGCCGTCCCCTGGGTGAGGGCCACATCTGCGAGGTATAGGATCCTCGCTAAAGGACCTAGCATGTCCAGCATTTTGTCCTGGACCGCTTTCATGCCCTTCTCGACACCTTTCCGTGGGTCTCTGCCCGAGCGGGACATAAACACCCCCACTGTGGCATCGAACTCTGGGGTGAGGGCTATCTTGACCGGGAGGACGGGGCGTGGGCACTCTGCTTTGAACTTGGCCCGCACCTCCTTGTCCATTGGCTTCCTCAGCCAAAAATGTACAAAGTGAGTCAGATGGTCCGGCAGGTTCCATTCTGACGATCTGGGGTGGCGTATCTGGCGTGGATCAAACAAGGGGTTGCCAGCCCCATCCAGAAACACCCCATCTTCAAATGCCTCCGTACGCACTTTACGTGTGCCTTTGCCGCCTGAGCGGTGTGCCCGTTCGGGGCCATGGTCGCAGTCTCCGACCTCTTGAGGCATGTCCTGCCAGTCCTCCTCCTCCGAGGGGGAATCCTCTGCCCTCCATTCGTCCATAACTTCTAATGAAGGCGGAGATAGCGGCTCCTCATCCCCTGAGGAAAGGGGCTGTGGAGGGGAACGATCCGGGCGCCTAGACTGGCGGCTCCGCTTTCGCAATACCTTCCCCTCCCATCTCTGCAGGGTCGTGTTGGATCCTCTCCATTGCCGTTTGCATGGTCCAGCCTCAGCCTTGGACTTGGTGTGCTCTGTATCCTCTTTTCTTGTCGGAGGCGTGGCCTCTGCCCCCTCCGCCTGTGGTTGCGCCATCATTTTGGCTAACGCCTTTTCTACCGAAGCCGACACTGCGGCATTGATCATGGCCTGGAAATCCATGGGCGATGATGGAGGAGCGTCTGACATGGTGGCAGTTTGATCTTCCCGTCTGTGGGTAGATATGGTATACGTCAGTGCGTATGTAGCTACACAGGGGCTTCCACGTACAACTGGGGGTCACCCAGGTACCATATAATCAGTACCACTAGGAATTTGAGTAGTGGTCTGTAGAGGGGTTCACCCTCTCCTCGACCGGGGTGCACGGTCGTTACGGTCGGGACGAGGCCCGGTAATGGTCGGGACGAGGCCCGGTAATGGGAGGTGTCAAAGACCTCAGTACGCTTTTTTATTTTGCATGTGGAAGTTACGCCACTGTGGGATCTTTTACCAATAGGCAGTGAATTGTGTGGATCACCCTAGTTGTACCATGGAGGTGCCGCATATAATAAAGCGTACGTTGCAATAAGCCCTTGAGTGGGCGTGAAGAAAACACCCCTGTGTAAACTTAGAATTTTTTTTTTTTTTCTCTTCCAGAATTATATGTATCCTGTTCTTCAGTGTATGCCCTGAGTCAGCCACCAGTGTCCTCAGTGGGATCCAGGCATTAAGAATAGCAGCCTGAGCAGTCAATGGGTGCAAGCAGGTAAGTATTCCTTTAAGCTTTATTCCATTTATGTGCCTGCATTAACTCCTGTATCCAGGGAGTAAGGGGTTAACTAACACTTCAGTGTTAGCCAGCATCAAGGGCAGTATATAACCATACACCTTACAGACAATTACACATTAAGTACAGATTTTATGCCAGTTCGTGGGAATCACGAACTGGCAAGCTAAGATGGCCGCCGAGGATCTCGCGAGATCGCGAGATCCAAGATGGCCGCCATTCCCGCGCAAATTTGCCGCGCGGTTCGCGATCGCGGCCCGCGACCGCGATCCTACCAACCTGGCCGGTACCCCCCTGTGTCCCCCAGTTCCCCCCCCAGCCCCTGGAGCCCCTGGTCAGACCCCCCGGTCTCGCGCGATCGCGGTAAAATGCCGCGAATCGCGAGGGACCCACACAGACCAGAGGCAAGGTACAGTGCAGCCCCAGAGACAGGGAAAACCCCACACAAGAAAAACTAACAAGCTGAGGGAGCAGGCATAAACTAAGTGCATGTAAAAGGGGAACATACAGTAGAGAGTAAGCCAGCATCAATTAAAGAGACAGTAAGAATTGTACATATAATAGACAATAGTGAGAGCAGAATACTCTGACCTGTGCCTTGGCTGGAAGCAGCAAAGAAAGAGGAAGTCATGTGACAATCAGAGCCTTATATATGTTTATGTACTCTCTTATGATTGGTTAAAAGTTTATTGATTGACTTG